GGTGAGTGCATGGAAGGAGATGGGTGCATGGAAGGAGATGGGTGCATGGGGCAGGTGGGTGCATGGAAGGAGATGGGTGCATGGGGCAGGTAGGTGCACGGGGCAGGTGAGTGCATGGAAGGAGATGGGTGCATGGAAGGAGATGGGTGCATGGGGCAGGTGGGTGCATGGAAGGAGATGGGTGCATGGGGCAGGTAGGTGCACGGGGCAGGTGAGTGCATGGAAGGAGATGGGTGCATGGAAGGAGATGGGTGCATGGGGCAGGTGGGTGCATGGAAGGAGATGGGTGCATGGGGCAGGTAGGTGCACGGGGCAGGTGAGTGCATGGAAGGAGATGGGTGCATGGAAGGAGATGGGTGCATGGGGCAGGTGGGTGCATGGAAGGAGATGGGTGCATGGGGCAGGTAGGTGCACGGGGCAGGTGAGTGCATGGAAGGAGATGGGTGCATGGAAGGAGATGGGTGCATGGGGCAGGTGGGTGCATGGAAGGAGATGGGTGCATGGGGCAGGTAGGTGCACGGGGCAGGTGAGTGCATGGAAGGAGATGGGTGCATGGAAGGAGATGGGTGCATGGGGCAGGTGGGTGCATGGAAGGAGATGGGTGCATGGGGCAGGTAGGTGCACGGGGCAGGTGAGTGCATGGAAGGAGATGGGTGCATGGAAGGAGATGGGTGCATGGGGCAGGTGGGTGCATGGAAGGAGATGGGTGCATGGGGCAGGTAGGTGCACGGGGCAGGTGAGTGCATGGAAGGAGATGGGTGCATGGAAGGAGATGGGTGCATGGGGCAGGTGGGTGCATGGAAGGAGATGGGTGCATGGGGCAGGTAGGTGCACGGGGCAGGTGAGTGCATGGAAGGAGATGGGTGCATGGAAGGAGATGGGTGCATGGGGCAGGTGGGTGCATGGAAGGAGATGGGTGCATGGGGCAGGTAGGTGCACGGGGCAGGTGAGTGCATGGAAGGAGATGGGTGCATGGAAGGAGATGGGTGCATGGGGCAGGTGGGTGCATGGAAGGAGATGGGTGCATGGGGCAGGTAGGTGCACGGGGCAGGTGAGTGCATGGAAGGAGATGGGTGCATGGAAGGAGATGGGTGCATGGGGCAGGTGGGTGCATGGAAGGAGATGGGTGCATGGGGCAGGTAGGTGCACGGGGCAGGTGAGTGCATGGAAGGAGATGGGTGCATGGAAGGAGATGGGTGCATGGGGCAGGTGGGTGCATGGAAGGAGATGGGTGCATGGGGCAGGTAGGTGCACGGGGCAGGTGAGTGCATGGAAGGAGATGGGTGCATGGAAGGAGATGGGTGCATGGGGCAGGTGGGTGCATGGAAGGAGATGGGTGCATGGGGCAGGTAGGTGCACGGGGCAGGTGAGTGCATGGAAGGAGATGGGTGCATGGAAGGAGATGGGTGCATGGGGCAGGTGGGTGCATGGAAGGAGATGGGTGCATGGGGCAGGTAGGTGCACGGGGCAGGTGAGTGCATGGAAGGAGATGGGTGCATGGAAGGAGATGGGTGCATGGGGCAGGTGGGTGCATGGAAGGAGATGGGTGCATGGGGCAGGTAGGTGCACGGGGCAGGTGAGTGCATGGAAGGAGATGGGTGCATGGAAGGAGATGGGTGCATGGGGCAGGTGGGTGCATGGAAGGAGATGGGTGCATGGGGCAGGTAGGTGCACGGGGCAGGTGAGTGCATGGAAGGAGATGGGTGCATGGAAGGAGATGGGTGCATGGGGCAGGTGGGTGCATGGAAGGAGATGGGTGCATGGGGCAGGTAGGTGCACGGGGCAGGTGAGTGCATGGAAGGAGATGGGTGCATGGAAGGAGATGGGTGCATGGGGCAGGTGGGTGCATGGAAGGAGATGGGTGCATGGGGCAGGTAGGTGCACGGGGCAGGTGAGTGCATGGAAGGAGATGGGTGCATGGAAGGAGATGGGTGCATGGGGCAGGTGGGTGCATGGAAGGAGATGGGTGCATGGGGCAGGTAGGTGCACGGGGCAGGTGAGTGCATGGAAGGAGATGGGTGCATGGAAGGAGATGGGTGCATGGGGCAGGTGGGTGCATGGAAGGAGATGGGTGCATGGGGCAGGTAGGTGCACGGGGCAGGTGAGTGCATGGAAGGAGATGGGTGCATGGAAGGAGATGGGTGCATGGGGCAGGTGGGTGCATGGAAGGAGATGGGTGCATGGGGCAGGTAGGTGCACGGGGCAGGTGAGTGCATGGAAGGAGATGGGTGCATGGAAGGAGATGGGTGCATGGGGCAGGTGGGTGCATGGAAGGAGATGGGTGCATGGGGCAGGTAGGTGCACGGGGCAGGTGAGTGCATGGAAGGAGATGGGTGCATGGAAGGAGATGGGTGCATGGGGCAGGTGGGTGCATGGAAGGAGATGGGTGCATGGGGCAGGTAGGTGCACGGGGCAGGTGAGTGCATGGAAGGAGATGGGTGCATGGAAGGAGATGGGTGCATGGGGCAGGTGGGTGCATGGAAGGAGATGGGTGCATGGGGCAGGTAGGTGCACGGGGCAGGTGAGTGCATGGAAGGAGATGGGTGCATGGAAGGAGATGGGTGCATGGGGCAGGTGGGTGCATGGAAGGAGATGGGTGCATGGGGCAGGTAGGTGCACGGGGCAGGTGAGTGCATGGAAGGAGATGGGTGCATGGAAGGAGATGGGTGCATGGGGCAGGTGGGTGCATGGAAGGAGATGGGTGCATGGGGCAGGTAGGTGCACGGGGCAGGTGAGTGCATGGAAGGAGATGGGTGCATGGAAGGAGATGGGTGCATGGGGCAGGTGGGTGCATGGAAGGAGATGGGTGCATGGGGCAGGTAGGTGCACGGGGCAGGTGAGTGCATGGAAGGAGATGGGTGCATGGAAGGAGATGGGTGCATGGGGCAGGTGGGTGCATGGAAGGAGATGGGTGCATGGGGCAGGTAGGTGCACGGGGCAGGTGAGTGCATGGAAGGAGATGGGTGCATGGAAGGAGATGGGTGCATGGGGCAGGTGGGTGCATGGAAGGAGATGGGTGCATGGGGCAGGTAGGTGCACGGGGCAGGTGAGTGCATGGAAGGAGATGGGTGCATGGAAGGAGATGGGTGCATGGGGCAGGTGGGTGCATGGAAGGAGATGGGTGCATGGGGCAGGTAGGTGCACGGGGCAGGTGAGTGCATGGAAGGAGATGGGTGCATGGAAGGAGATGGGTGCATGGGGCAGGTGGGTGCATGGAAGGAGATGGGTGCATGGGGCAGGTAGGTGCACGGGGCAGGTGAGTGCATGGAAGGAGATGGGTGCATGGAAGGAGATGGGTGCATGGGGCAGGTGGGTGCATGGAAGGAGATGGGTGCATGGGGCAGGTAGGTGCACGGGGCAGGTGAGTGCATGGAAGGAGATGGGTGCATGGAAGGAGATGGGTGCATGGGGCAGGTGGGTGCATGGAAGGAGATGGGTGCATGGGGCAGGTAGGTGCACGGGGCAGGTGAGTGCATGGAAGGAGATGGGTGCATGGAAGGAGATGGGTGCATGGGGCAGGTGGGTGCATGGAAGGAGATGGGTGCATGGGGCAGGTAGGTGCACGGGGCAGGTGAGTGCATGGAAGGAGATGGGTGCATGGAAGGAGATGGGTGGGCCCCTTGCTGCCCCCCCCGCGACTCCCCTCAGAGCCCCTCTATGGACCCCTCACTGCTTCCCCTCAAGCCCCCCCGTGGGCCCCTTCTCCCCTTTCCATTGTTCCCTTTTGTCCTGGGGTCACTTCAGGCTTCCCTGTCTCCTTGCCCAGGAGACTCCTGTATCTCTTATCTCTGCCTGGTGCGGAGCAGAGCAGGTCTGCACCTCCTCGCCATCTGGGGTCTATTAATGCTCCATTCCTCTTCTCAGGATCTCCATCTCGCCCGTCCATGTATGCAAGACTTTCTGTTTTCCTCTTTTTCCTCAAGTCTTATCCTCCCTTCTCCATCTACTCTTTTTTCTCTCATTCATTCCCTAAATCTGACCCATTCCTTTGCTGCAGGCAACACCATACTGTAGAAAATATTGAGGTCCAGGTGTTTTCTGGGCTGGTTATTATTATCCCTCCAAATCTTTCCCCTTCTGAGGATTTTCATCTTCCCCCAGCTGCGGAGTAATGTTTCCCCCACTGCCTTCTCATGGCAAGGGCAGATTCTATCTCCTTCCCTCGGCATCTTTGTGAGGGGGAGGAGGATGACCCTTCCTCAACTGTTTTTTTTTTTTTTTATCTTTTCCCTGTAGTTGTGATAGAAGGCAGTCCCCTTCTGTCTTCTGCAAACTCTTGCTTTCTCTTCTAGCTACTGAGGTAGCTGTTCTCCATCACAGGGAGAAAAAGACTTAACAATCAGGCAAACTGAAGCTGATGCTGGGAACCCCCTTAAAAGAGCAGGAATAGCCACTGTTAAAGAAAACACGAAAGTGAAGGGGGCCGTACCCCTGTAAGTCTGGGATAACATTGCAAAACATGAGCTATCAAGCAGCTTCCCTTTTCCTCTCCTGTTCTTCTGGAGGAATGCTTTTTGGGACTGCTTCTTTTCTTTTTACGAGATCTTACAGTTACAGCTGGGATTTGAATTTTTTTTCCCTTTTATATCTCAGTATTGCGTAGTCCTCGCCTGGCCAGCTGCAAACTGGGGCTCTTTCAGTGTGCATGAGCTAGAGCAACCCTGGGCTTCCTTTGCACTGTCACAATCTTGAGTGTCTTTCTCTTGTCTTTTTACATGTCCTGAAAAAGTTGAGATGAGGTTGCAGGGCTGAGGCTCAAAATTTGCTGTTACTGCCATGGAAACGTTTCTGTGCAGATGAAGGAGAGGAAGAAGATTAGGATATTATTGGGTAAAATTTAGCATCTGGCTTCTGATGTTAAAAGGAGCTTCAGAGGGTCAAAGATGCTGATCAGAGAGCATCCCTTGGTATATGCCTCTTCTCTAACTTTACACACATTTTCTTGGTAAGAAAACTGGTCTGTTAAAACTGCACTATTAAAGTGGAGCTTTCACACCAAACTTGACTTTTCTAATTGTATTTTGGGTGATTTTTTTTCCCATGTTGTTTTCCCAAAGCATTGGAGGCTTATGTTTCATCAAGTCCCAAGGTGATCTGAAAGCTAGCTAAGCACTTGTAAATGGGAGAGGGGTGACGAAGGTAATGGGACAAGTTGGAAGGAAGCGCCCAGATGGGAATTGCATGTGTCGTAAGCCAAGTGTCTAATGGCAGTCTGAGAATACTGCACAAACTTCTCAGTTAAAAGTGTTTGTAACTCTTTTCAGTTCACTTTTATAACAGAGGAGAAATCACAAGGGAGCTAACGAAGCTGGCACATTGGGGAGAATCTGAAATGAGATCCTGTCTGGGAAATGAAAGTTAATGTGTGGGGTACAGGAGAAATGTGAAAAATATTCAGCTGGCAGAAGCAATCCGCAAGGCAGTTGTGGTTGGAAGAGACCTAGAGACGAAACTGCCCAAGATATAGCAGTCCAAATTTCATATCCTCTTGGCAGGAGTATTATCCCATGCTTTCGGAGATGTGAGACTTTTGTTAAACTGGGCCCCAACTGGTGATTGTTACATAACTGAGCAGAGTTGCAAGGCATAAAGACCTGTGTTCATGCCCAAATAGAACTGGAAACTTCAGACTGTCATTGGCAGAGTAAGTGGCTTTTTATTTTGTCTATTTGCATCTTTCCCTTGAAGAGTCAGTCTTTGAAATTACAAGATAGGTTTTAATCATTCTTCATCGAAGCAACTTTGCTGTTTCCCTGTTGCTTGTAAAGAAGGTGTGAAATTTGCAGTATGTTTCTTCCCAGACTAGAATGATGTCTCTCTGGCTGTTCACATTTTCATTTCAGTGTTTCACATTTTCATTTTCACATTTTCCTCTTTATAGAGCCCCTTGCCCTGCCAGGTTCTGGATGCCAAGCACCTTCTGCCCATGCAGCTGATGAATGCGTGAAGAGGAAGCTGACCAGGAGAGGGACTCTTGAGCAGCTGCTAAGATGGGCATGAGGATCAAGTTGCACAGCACCAATCACCCCAACAACCTGCTGAAGGAACTCAACAAGTGCAGGCTCTCCGAGACCATGTGTGACGTCACCATTCTGGTGGGGAGCCGCTCCTTTGCTGCACATAAAGCAGTTCTGGCCTGCGCTGCAGGCTACTTCCAGAATCTCTTTTTGAACACAGGGCTGGATGCTGCCAGGACCTATGTAGTAGATTTCATCACGCCAGCCAACTTTGAGAAGATCCTCAGCTTTGTATACACTTCAGAGCTCTTCACAGACCTAATCAACGTGGGTGTCATTTACGAGGTGGCAGAGCGGTTGGGCATGGAAGATCTGCTGAAGGCCTGCCATTCAACCTTCCCTGACTTGGAGAGCTCAGCCATCACGAAGCAGCCCTCTCTGTCCATGGGCGAAGGCCGGTCAGGCCCTCTGAGCAGCACCTCGTCAGAACAGAAACATTCTTTGGGTGAAATCCGGAGCAGTGGGGAACATTTTGGCCCTGAACGGAATTACATCTTGCATGGAGAAGTGGCAGGCAGCTACAAAGAGGACGACCGGAACACCATGAATGAGGCCAGCCAGACCCTTTCCCTGATGCATCAGCAGCCTCCCAAGACAGAACAGGAATCAGAACAAGGGCAGTTTGCTCCTGCCACAAGTATGGCAACCCAGCCCAACCTGGGCAGCGTAAACGTTGCTCTTCAAACCACTACAGGCTCCTGCCAACAGTATAAGGTCCAGAGCAATGGTGACTACAGTAAGGGTGGCTTCTTTACTGCTGATACTTCCCTAGACGTCTCCACAGGGAGCAACTCCTGTCCCAGCAACAGTGACCACTCCAAAGAGCAAGGTTTTGGGCAGATGGATGAGCTTCAGTTGGAGGACTTGGGGGATGATGAACTACATTTTGAAGATGCCAGTGAAGAGCTGGGCCCAACAGAAGAAGTTATTGAGCTGAGTGACGACAGTGAAGAAGAGCTGGCCTTTGAGAATGACAGCCGGGATAGCAAGGCCATGCCCTGTCAGGTGTGCAAAAAGGTCCTGGAACCCAACATCCAGTTGATCCGCCAGCATGCAAGAGATCACGTTGATCTGCTTACTGGGAACTGCAAGGTCTGCGAGACCCACTTTCAGGACCGGAATTCCAGGGTTACTCACGTTTTGTCCCACATCGGGATCTTTCTCTTCTCCTGCGACATGTGTGAGACCAAGTTCTTCACCCAGTGGCAGCTTACCCTCCACCGAAGAGAAGGGGTGTTTGACAATAACATCATCATCCACCCCAGCGACCCGCTCCCGGGGAAGACCAATATGTTTGGTGGGGGGTCTGGCTCAGAGCTGGCATGTGCTGCCTGCGGGAAGCCTTTGGCCAAAGATTTTCACACTGTCCGCAACCACATCCTGGACCACGTGAACTTGAAAAGCCAGACGTGTGGTGTGTGTGATCAGAGGCACCTCAATCTCTGCAGTCTGATGTGGCACACTCTGTCTCATTTGGGGATCTCAGTCTTTTCCTGCTCCGTTTGTGCCAACAGCTTTGTAGATCGGCACCTCCTGGAGAAACACTTGGCTGTTCACCAGAACATGGAGGAGGCTCTTTTCCGTTGCCATTTCTGTGGCCAGAGCTTCAAGCTGGAAGCAGCGTATCGTTATCATGTCAGCCAGCACAAATGTGGGGGCAGCCTGGACATCCGACCCAGCTTTGGTGACCGACTCCAGCAGCAGGGCCTCCAGAAGAGGAAGCTGCCTGAAGAATTCCTGAGTGAAGACTTGGCACTGCAAAATCAGCCAGGCAACAGTAAGTATAGCTGCAAAGTCTGTGGGAAGAGGTTTGCCCACACCAGTGAATTCAACTACCACCGGAGGATTCACACCGGAGAAAAGCCCTACCAGTGCAAAGTGTGTCACAAGTTCTTCCGTGGCCGCTCCACCATCAAGTGCCACCTGCGGACACATTCCGGCGCCCTTATGTACCGATGTACTGTGTGTGGGCATTATAGCTCCACACTCAACCTTATGAGCAAGCACATAGGCGTGCACAAAGGCAGCCTGCCCCCTGACTTTACCATTGAACAGACTTTCATGTATATTATCCATTCCAAAGATGCGGAGAAAAACACAGACAGCTGATTGGGTGAGACGGGACAGGGCCAGCAAAGGAGCAAATGCTAATTACAGAAGCTGTGGAAAAATGTCATTTATTTTATTCAATGGTCAGACATCATGGATGGAATCCTCCTTTTCTAGTCTTTTTAATTTTTGGGGGCCTTGCTAGGGCTTTTTTGATTGGCATTGTACAAATTAACAGCATGTAAGCTACATCACCGTTTCCAAGAAGTCTGTCATGTTTACTTACCTCTGGTCCTGTTAGAGGACATTGAGTTCTGTGTTTTTAGCATTTCTCACTAGGTTTTGAATCTAGGTTGGTTGGTTGGTTGGTTTGTTTGTTTGTTTGAAACCTTTTAGCCCACTTGACTAGGCTAACCCTCTGAGCTTACCCACAAACTGATGCTGCTAAGATGCTGAAACCTGACCTCAGTAGAGAGGGACAGAGCCAGAGCAGGACAGTACTGGACTCAAAAAATAACTGAAAGAAAAAAGACAGGAAAAAAAGACTCATTCTAGGCATCGCTGGGGTTCTGCTGCTATTGTGAGGAGGTAAGCAAAGTCTGTGTCACAGAATCAGCCTTGAAATTGTCACTCCGTTGCAGGGGAGATTAGCAAGCAGCATGTGTGTGTGCACATGCAAACGAGAAGAGGTACCTAGGAGTGAATTAATAGGAGGGTGATTTGTTGCTCAGAAGGGCAATTCCCCGTCAGTGCCTCTTGTGGTTGTGGTCTCTGGGAGGCCTGTCTGAACAGGGAGCGCAGCTGGCAGTTTCACTGCCCTCCCCATGACATGCCTCTCAAGTTTTCAAAGACCACCCCCTTCCCCCCCCCCCTTTCAGAACAAGGGAAATGAAGGAGTAACTCCACCTCTTTGAAGAGAGCAGCCTGAGCAGAGGGGGTGGCTGCTCTGAAGGAGAGATGGATGTTTGAGCAGAGATATCTCTCAGAAGAATCACTGAACTGGAGAAGGCAAGGGAAGCAGATTTATATTGTGGGGCTGACTGCTTCTTAAGAAACAATTTTTGATGGAATAGTCATGCCTGGTTCTGCTGGCCCGTGGTCGGCCATCACGATGAGCATGCTGACATCTCCTCAGCTCTTACTTGTGTGCTTATGACAGCCGTGCACGTAGAGCTCTGCCCGCGCAGTGTGCGTCTGAGGGCTTCCAGTTGTTGGAAGCGTTGGATGTCTGAGAACAGCATTGCTGAGGCCTGTGCAAATCCCAGCAGACAAGGATGTGATGAAACCGTTGCCTTAACTCCCAGGAAGGTGTCTTTGAGAAGGACTATTCTCTCTGCTAAAAAGATAGCCCCCTCCCATGGTTAATGCAGTAAATCACCACGTCCCAGACGTGTCTCTGTGAAACGTGTACTGCAGGATGTTGTTGGTGCCAATATAAGTTGTTTCATCTTTTACAGAATAATGCTGTAACTTTAGCACATGCCAGCTGGTGGCTGCAACAGAGCAGCTCCAGAAACTTGCAGGAATAGTAGCTGATGTGAATCTCAGCCTGTCCTGGACAAACGTCCAGCACAGGCTTGGGACTCCTCCTCAGAGCTGTGCGCCCTCCTGCAAAGTGGGCTTTCTCAGCTGCGCTAGCGAGGTTGATCCCATGCTTGTAATGTTTACACCAGGAAGGGTGGGGGTTGGCTTTTTCCCATGTTATCCTGCTGTGGGGCAGAGGCGGAGAGGAACAAATACTTCAAATACCACAGCATGAGTTATAATCACCCTTAGGTAACTCATACTACCTCACAAACAGGAAGCGCTCAGGGCTTTCAAGCCACAGTCGTATAGTAAATTGGGCTCCTGCGCTTCTATAAAGATATGCTATTACAAAACAAAACTAGTGATTTGCAAACCCTGTAAAAGTTAATGCTTGAAGTCATTCCACCTTTACCCTCCTCTTGAAGGGACAACCCACAACAGAGGAGCAGCATGATCTGGACGTGTGGTTACTGAGCTAGGAATTTCTGGGGTTTACTCCCCCCGCTCCACTGTGGCCTTGGGCAAGTCACTTCACCTCTTTGCCTCAGTTTCCTCATCTGTAAAATGAGGATGGTAACACTTGTGGTACCTACCTACCTCTCTGGAGTGTGGTGAAGATTACTGGCTCATATCTGCAAAGCGTGTGGAAGATGCAAAGCACTTAGTGAATATTACTATTTAGCATCCTAGGGCAATAACAGCCTCCATCCTTTCCTGTTCTGTACCGATTTCTTGAGGTACAGCAACCACCTGGCAGGGTCATTTTGCTCCTGTTGCAGCTTTCCCTATCCAGAGCAAATCTTCCTTTAGCTCTGCCCCCATCGCAGTCCGGTGAAACAAGCTATGTGGCAATGTAAGATTTGGGGCCATGTTCCCCTCAGTGCTAGCTGCATCTGAGAAGGGGATTTGAGGAAGGGACTTGGCAGAATGGGAAGGAGGAGCGTGCATGCTGGGATGTAGTGGCATTGTAATGCAACTGAAACCACAGTGCTTGAAAAGAGCTTCTCACTTGTCTCCTGGTAAATTGCTGTCCAGGAGAATAAGCAAGAGTTGGACTTTCCTTCCCAGGGAGGGAGAGAGTGGAGATTATACAAGTGTGCAACTGCTGGCTGCATCTGGAAGCCTCTGGTTGTTAGCTCCATACTCGGAATCCTTCTCCGTCTGCGGCTGATCCCTTTGGTTTGCCTATAAAGCTGGTGTCCCTCCTCGGTAGCTCCAGAGTTTGCTTTGCTGTGACAGGGGCAAGAGACAGCAGCCCTGTGTCAAGCTATATTCCACCTGGCAGTGCTGCCCCCTGCGTGGACATGATGCCTCTTCCCAGAAAGCTCCTTTGTCCTGAGCTTGAAGTAATCCTCCGTCACCCCATGGACCTGCACAAACTGCACAAACACAAGGGGTCAGAGGAATGGACCTTGCCTAGGAGGAAAAGGAGAAGCCAAGGCTGATGATAAGGCTGTTAAGAGTTTTGCGTCCCTTCCACAACCCATGTAATGTCGGCCAAGTTTGAGGCTGGCTGATGTTGTCCTGGTGATGTTAAACTGGACTCATACTCTTGACGTTTTGGTGCCAGGAGTATGTTTACAAGAGGAAAATAGATACTGAAATGATAGCTAACTCTTGTGAGAGATGGGCAAGGGTATTCCATGCTTGTCAAGTAGAGCTGTGGTTTCCAAACTCTGGTCTTGTGGTACCACTGGTCATCCAGAAGGCCTTAGCATGTGATCTTTAACTGGTCTGTGGAACCATATCTAGCCTAGTGTTTTTAATTAAACAACAAAAAAAAAGATGCTGAGAGTGCATGGTGCTCTAGAAAAGTGTGGAGAGTTGACACTGGTTCACTGGAGGCTCCACTGAGGAGCTCTTTGAGTTATGGGGTTTCTTTCATTGTCCTGATAGTAGCAAGATGTGCTGGTAGACAAGACGATTCAAAAGCCATCTGGATAGGGTTCGGGGCAACATGTTCTAGGTGACCCTGCTTGAGCAAGGGGGTTGGATTAGATGGTCTCTGAGGTCTCTTCCAACCTCAACCATTCTGTGATTCTGTGAAGACTCTAGGATGATGGGAAATGGATGTGATATGTTCTGGAGATTGCTATGAAGGATGTTGAGAGAGGCAGACTAGGCATGGGATAGCTGAGTCTTTAAAGCCTCAAGATCCTCCTAAAATGTCCCAGAAGCTGTAATGAGCTTTTGGATGGATTGGGGCACTGTCAAGTGGTAATGGTCTGTAGCCCCATATCTAGCTAAGCTGTGAAGCAAAAGCCTTTTGTGCACATAAACCAAAAAGAGAAGCTTTTACACTGAAACACTAATGGGCAAAGCAAGCCCACTCTTCTGAACACAGGGACAGGAAAGCAAAAGCCCACCCCATTTTCTGCTGATCGTTTTTGGAAGTGGGGATAGGGACAGAGATCTCAGTTCCCTGCTGTTTCTATATTTTGGATTCTTCCCTATGTTATAATGAAATATTCCTATTCCCATGTGAAATATTCTGCGATCAGCACCAAGTTCTCATTTGCTGAGGGAATGTGGAGACAGGATTTTGGTCTGCAGCATTCTCTGGGTTTGCTGACCTTGTGTCGCTGCTCCTCCTCAGATTTGCCAAATGGCGATTTTTCCACGAGAGGTCAAAGATCTGAGCTCTCCCCAAGAATCCAACAGTAGGACCCTGCCAGTGTGCATTGGAGAACCGCTGCCCAGCATGTCTAGTACCAGATCAGATCCCACAGAGTCTTTCCACTGGCTTTCCTGGGCTTTTAACCACGGCCGTAGCCCCTGACAGCATGGCCCCGGTGCACGGGGTCCTCGGCACTTCTCCAAGCTGATGTCCAGCTTTAGTGCTCTGTGTTCCTCTTTCTGAGCCCGGTCACTGGCGAGGAGCTCCAGTGTTGGAGGGTGGGATCGGACAGAGTTGACAGACAAGGATTCTCTGCTGGGCTTTAATCCTGAATCCAAAGCAGGCTGCTTTGGCCGAAGGGGCTGTAGGTCTGACCCAACTGTGTCGCAGCAAACGCATCCTGGTGATGGCAGTGGCTCTCTGAGCCACGTCCAGCAGCACCGGGGTCAGGAGGGTCAGGTTGCAACCATGCTGCAGCTCTGCTTGGGAAGCAAAGCACAGTTTGCAGCAGTTGGGGAAGCAGTAGTGTCCAGTGGGCTGAAGCAGAAACGCAACTCCTGGTTCTGTTCCTCGCTCTGCCACTGACTCACTGTGCGGCCTGTGGCAAATCTGTTCGCCTCGCTTCCCCGCCCTTCTCCCTCCCCGTCTGTAAAAGTGGGGGACAATAAAGAATTACCTACCTCACTCGGGGAGGCTGTGAGGTTTAATTCATGTTTGTAAAGTGCTTTGGGATCCTTGGGATGAAATAGGGGAATATAGAAGGAAAATACTTTGCTGTTAGTTTTCCCAACTGCATTTGCAGGGTTTTGTTTGGTTGTGGGTTCTCACATACTACTGGAGCCTGAAGTGAGCTGCATGCCTTTGACTTCCACAGCGGGGACAGCTCAGGCAAGGAGCAGCTGCTCTACGTGGCTTCAAGGCTAGTTGGCTTGAAACCCTGACACAAAATGCACCTCCAGAAGGTAGTACTTTGATACTGGTCTTACTCTAATTTTTAAAACACAAAATTCAGTTCTGTTTTATTCTCCCCTTTCTCAAAGGATCCAGGTCTCTTAACAAAATAATTAACGAGAAGAAAGAAAAAGAGTTGAATTGCTGTCTAACCTTTTTGTTAAGTTAATAGTAGGTACTGACCTCCTGATATTTAAGTGTTTACTATCTATTTGCTGTAAAGTTTTGTATATTTTGTAAACTTTCCCCCCAAATAGTAGATGTCTAAAATCGTTGTACATCGGGTTCTTTTATACTCCATTGTTCAGCACAAAGTGTGGTTTTTATTTAGAATAATAAAATGAAAAATGTTGATCACTTGTACCTTGTTTCTTTTAAAAAATTGTTTCTTTACATTTGCAGATTGGCATTTCTCTCTTTTTAAGAGTGACCCGTTCCTGTTATCCTGCTCCTGTGTTGCTGTGTGCAATGTTTTGCAAGATTTGTGGCATAAGTCAGAGCAGCCCCAGGACTTCTTCCCAGTCACCTCCCTCCCAGCATCAGGAGCAGTTAGAGAAGAGCATGTTCTGGCATCACTGCAAACTGTTTCTATAACAGGTTGGTAGCAGAGCCCTTATTAGCCACTCTGCTTTGCCCTAGAAACCATTTAGGAGATTCTCTGGGTTTGTGTTTCTTGTTAAGCCCCTTTTGTTGCTGCCAGTGCTGTATTTAACTGAGAATTAGACCCTTACAGGCTCATTGCTTTTGACTGGCAAGCCAAATGAGAAGGCAGGCACTGCTGGTATTTTTCAAGAGATGTTTCAGCTTTGCTTTTCTCCAGGGACAAGGCTTCCTTCTCAGTTCAGGGTTAGGGTGAACTGCATATTGAGCTGTGATAAACAAATGAGGAAGCTGCTTCCCGGAGGAGTCTCTCGAGCGAATCTTGGACAAAGACAGAAGTGTGGTTTCCCTGCAGGAAGGCTGCAGTTCTTGGGAGACAAGGAGCAGCATGCACATTTATTTGCTTGAGCGTGCCTGCCAGCGCAGCAGATTGAGAAATTGGGCATGCTGAAGTTAGGACCAGTGACCAGGAACAGACACTAGACAAATTCAAGGCTTGGAGCATGGCTTGAGAGTATATATGTGGTAATTGCTAAAGGAACCCATTCCTGGGGCAGTTTACCAAAAGAGGTGGTGAAAACTTTCAAGGAAGGCCACGTGATCCAGTGAAAGACTTGCTGGATTTCAACCCCAAATCAGTGGGGGAAGCACTAGGTGCAATTCTGCATGGTGTTGTGTGGGTTCATTTGAGGCCTCTCTGGCCTTGAGGCCTATGAATTACGGTACACAAAGTTGCAGGTGCATTAGGAGAGTTAAAAGTTTAATACGTCAAATATTGAGTTTCAAATGTTTAAGTAACTTGAAACTGAATATATCGCTGTCCTGGTTATGTCACATATCAAATGTCTTTTTATTGTGTACTAGCCTCTGATTTCTTTAGTGAAAATGGCAGAGCATTAGCAAAAGGAAGTTTTAAAGAAGATTCAGGCATGCTCTGGATGAGAACTGTGGGTCAGGTCAGTGGTAAGTGGCTGCTTTCTTGCTAACGTTCGCCTGTCTTTATGGCTGCTCTGTTTTACTGCGTGTATTTGTGCCCAGGAGAGTCACAGGGATGAAGCAGGAAAAGTGCTCTATAGATGCAGATCTAAAAGGATGGTGTTTGCCCCAAAGTCTAAGCTGTTCTACTTATTTTCAACCGTATAATTAACGTAAGAAAGAGGAGTGGATATAAGCTGCTTCTCTTAACAAGTTGCTGTTTGAATCTGAGGGGACTGACTTCTTCCCTAGCTGCTCCCCTCCACAGTCAAGTGCCCTTTCTTCTGGTAGTAACAAAGAGCATCCTTGTGCACAAGGAGCCCTCGAGTGCTTTGCAGTTTACCCTGGCGTCGGACCCCTCTAAATAGCAGAGCTGCTCCCAGCACTTCCCATAATAGCTGTGATTCCATGTTAACCCCTGGACATGGGCTTCTCCAGCAATCTGGAACATCCTGCCCTCCACCCATTGCTTCTGTGGTGCAAGCATCCTGTCCCCAGATCCTGTCCAATTTGTTTATGCTCTGTGTTTCTTAAGCAGCTCAAGGCCTTTGGTAGATTTATTAACTCCCAGAGGCTGTCACTCTTTCACCTTCCCCTACCAAGGACTTGACCTGCAGCATGTGACTGAGCAGAATCCAGGCAAAGATGAACTTTCTCCAGATGCTCTAGTTTCTTATGTAACAGAAAAACTCAGCCTGTGCTCAAATGCTAAGGCTTTGTGCACATATACATTGAAAGCGTGCACTGTGAGATCTTGTGACCTTGGTTGAAGGGAATATGCATAAGGACTGCTGGAGCCTCTGCCAAAATTTAGAAATGTGCTGAGTGACCTTAGAAACCTGACATGAGAGGCTTTAAAGGAGGCTGATGTTAATGGGATGGGTCTCTTTCTGCAAAACACAAACTGGAAACCCCCTGTCCCCCAATCTGATATCACCGGTCACAGCGAAAGCACAGAGACATGGTGGAACCTGGTTTTAACCATCTCTTATTTACTGCTGGGTTTGAAAAATTGCTCTAAGTGGCTGATCTTGAATGTTTAAAGCTCAGTTCTGCGTTGTGCTCTGCACCTCTAGGCTTCATCACCTTAGTTTTTGTAAAGTCAGGCATTCGGCTATTTGCTGGGCACTGGAAAGTAAGGTTTGTGTTTCAAAGGAATGAATTTCCTGTCTTTCCTACTTGGGTTGGCATCATGGCAAAAGGGCAGCTTTCATTTGACACCTTTACGGTGTGGCATACGCAAAGCGCGTGTGTAAGTGAAAGTCTGGGATTGCGGAAAAACTTGTGGTAAAGGAAAAGTATTGCTTGTTCCATGAGCTGTGCAGCTAGGGGGAAGTAGGAGGGTCAGGTCAGGTCCTGTTGGTGGGCTTTGTGTTCAGACTTCAGAGCAGACAGAGTAATATACTTTATTACTACAAATGTTTCTTTTGAAAAACAGGAAATCTCTCTTTCTCTTATTGTTCTCTAGCTAAATAGATCTGATACAGCAGCACATCAGAGACAAATGTCTGTTGCTCCCCACACCACCTCATTTCACGTTTGGCACTCTGCCCCTCCCCTTGCCTTCAGAGCACAGTAGGTGGCCAGCCAAGAAATGCTATTTAAAAGCAAAGTGTCTGCTTATCTCCAGGGAAAATAATCTTACTGACCTCAGTGAGTCCCGGAAGCTGGTGACTCCCATGGGACCACTTGCCAGTGAGGAGTAGGAGAGTCCGGTCCCTGCTTAATTGGGTGGGTTGCTGTCCTTTGTGATGACTATGGAGTGTTGCGTGGTGGAGGAGGAACTGTCTGCACCTTTCTGGCTGGCTTGCTCTTTGGGGATGTATTTAACCACGGCAGAGATGAGCTTGCTGCGGAAGTTTTTGCTGAGGAAATTGTAGAGGATTGGGTTGATAACGCAGTGGAGCAGGGTGAAGCAGTCTATGATGTCATAGAAGAAGTAGAGGAAGTGGGCAAAGGTGCAGTGGAGGATGATGTGATTGCCGTCAAGGGTGAGCAGTGTGAGCATGATGTGGAAGGGCAGCCAGCTGAGAAGGAACACGACGATGTAGGCGTAGATGAGCAGACAGTGCTTCCTGCTCTCTGGCTTGGTGCGCTTGATGTACCTGGCCGTCAGGATGTTGAAAACGGTGATGATGGGGAAAGGGATGAGGAACCCGATGGTGGTGGTGGCTAAGCTGACCGCCAGGGCCCAGTCATCGTAGGTCTCGAAGGGGGCCATGAAGATGCAGATGGGCTCTCCAGTATTTACCAGCTGCATGT